GATGAGGATTATGGTGTTGATCTCTTACTTCACTATGCTAAATGTTAAGACTGACATCTGATATCACATAATGTAGCAGCAAATAAACAAGCATTGACCTGGAAACGGTCACAAATGAGAGACTGAATAAAGTTATAGGCAAATGAAATTGAATGTTACACCATGTCATAGAAAATACAGCCAATCAGAATACAGGAAAGCCGTTGTATATTTGACGGCATTACATCCAACCTTCCCATCATGCGCCGCGCGTATGTTCCATTAATTGTGCTAGCCACTGTATTGTCTATATATGGCATGGTATAAAATAGTTATGCAACGCTCTCTCGTGGTATACCATGAAATATCTCACGAGTCACTGTATTTTCTTGGTATACACACTCAAAGGCTGGTGTGTATACCAAGAAAATACAGTGACTCGTGAGATATTTCATGGTATACCACTTGAAAGCGGTGCATATTTGACTTAGATATTTTTACACGCTATTAACTCACCTTTAACTTCGTTTAGAGAGCCGAGGCATTTGGTAGATAATTGAAAAAACCTCTGCTGCACGGCACAACAGAGTATTAGGAACACCACACAACAACAGAACACTGATGGCAGAGCTAAATCCTGTTAAACAAGAATCATATCAGTACAGTACACTTGTTTTTCTTGGTGTAATTACGATATATCAACACCTTGCTAATAGGATTCAGGTATTTGCTTCACTAAGGGTCGGGGGGAGGGGGAGGGTGCCTTTCCTAGACAGAATTCCCCTCCGGATGAGAATCAGCGGATTCCACTACTTTGAAAATAGAGATTGCTATAAATAACTAACAAAACGAAACGTTTTGCCGGTCTTGACTGCTCTTGACTGACTCTTGACTCTTGGCTTGACTGCTCAAGCCTATTCGTAATAATATACTGAAAGTAATTTTAACAAGTACAGGCAGAGAATATCAGGGTAAGAGACAGACGGACGGACGGACGGACGGACGGACGGACGGACGGACTGACTGACTGCCTGATTGACTGACTGACTGACTTACACGCAACGCGCGAGTAACATCCCACGAAAAACTGGGTACCATGTCTACAAATAATTTAAGAGGGATTAACTTGGGTATAAGGCGTATATGGGGATTCACTCCTTACTATGATAATCTCTTGGTACAGGTGAATGCCAAAATTACGCATTGCAAGTTTGTTGATAAGAGAACAAAGGCATCGTGATCTAGACGTTCTTTGAAAAACAACCAAACCAATAACGCAATCGTGGTAGTAAGCAAAAGAATAAGCACAGTAAGAAGCTTGTGCAAACCTGAACTAGAAGAATGATGACAATAAGATTCAAAGGAACACGAAATATGTTCATGACTGTGGCACGAGCTGAAACAAAAAAAATAAAATATCAATTGCTACTATTTAAGTTAGAGGGCATGAAAAATAATAATCACTGTAGGCTTGCTGTATTTCGCGAAAACGAAACGAAACAAAGCGAAATGAGGTAAAAGATCTGAGGTTAATTTGATAGATATCAAGTACCTTACATGTAACTGTCAAATATGATTTCTCTGTGCAATAAACTAGAAGAGGAAAAAAAAAACAGGAAAATCTGTATTTTGCAAACTGAGCTCTTTGTTGACTGTGACGATATTTAAATTGTTTCTTTGCATTTGTAAACGCTCTTTTAGTAACTATTCCACGATGCAATGATGATTTCCGGGCAATTACAGTGAGCCAAGAGGTTGTGTCGTTTCCTGTCGTTTCGTTTCCCAAAATACAGTAAGCCTTACTGTAACATTTATAAAAATGTTGATATGAAAACTCCTTACTCGATTCTGGGACATATTTGCTCCGAAGCACTCCCATGGCTGGCCAGAAAAGTCCTATAAAAAAATTGAAACGAAAAAATACTTTACAACTCAACTGTAGTCTCACAATTGACACATACATAGTTATATTAAAAAAATTTGTTAACGTTAATGGCTGCACCCCTGTCTACCAACTTTTCACATCCTAGGTATTAACACAACTTGTCCCTATGATGCTAAAAACCCCAGGGGATTTCCACACCAAACATATAAAATAAATAAAAAAATTAAAGCTTTATTTATACTGAAAGACCGATCAGCGAATTCAATATAAAGACGCTGGTATGAACCGGTTATCGGTACATAAAATACTGGCTATCAGAAATAGGGGCTGCCAGATGAAGGTGGCTTTAACCACATGTAAAATAGGATTTAGCAGGAAAACAACCACGCAAACTTAATTATATCACTGAGTACTCTTTACACTGTACCATCCCTGATACCAATGGCCAATCTCAACGTCTTTATGTCCGAGATTGTTCAATTTTTAAATTCAAATTTCGGCGTTCACCTTGATGACAACTGATGTTAAAAATGTATCATGATAATGCTATGAAATACACAAGGGAGATGATGCATCAGACTGACTGAGTCCATGGTAAGTCACCTTCAGCCACACCCTACCCCATACATTTCTGATTTCTTTTGTAAGCTACTTGTAAGCACTCTTAAGTTAGTATCTTACCCACGCAACATTCAAACACCAAGAATCCTACAAAAATAGCTGATTGGTTCTACAAGGAAAGATGAAAAAGCAATTTTAGTAGTTAAGCAGTTCAATATTTGATTATTCCCTTTGCCTTTAAATGTGCCTTAAGCTCTGGACCAATTAAGAGCCTATTAGACTATCAGCAAACATTCTATATACTAATTATACATGTACCTTTGGAGCAATGATGGGGATGATTAATGATAACGCTGCTATTCCAAATATAGGTCTGAAAGAAAACTATGCAATATCAATTAAATGCAAAATGCATGTCATGCATGCCATTTCTTGAGAGTGATCAACGTCTACATTTTCATTTACATATAACTAAATACTCACTGCCAAGCACTCCTTGACAAGATAAATTTAAAACTGTCAGCTACGTATTCATTATTTGGTCTTGACATATTGCCATATTCTTGCTACTGATAACCCTGCAGCCATGAGCCAATGGCCGTACTTTTTCTTAACAGGGAGTGCTGTATTAATGGCTGGCTACCTTGTTGGCACTGACATCCAGGCCACTATATACATACAGTGGAAGCCTGTTAATCCAGTCACCAACAGGCCACAAAAATCTGGCCATATTAATGGGGTTGTTTAAGTTTAATGATTGACTGAGCTTTTGGCTGGGCCAGAATAAAGTGATTGTAATAACTGAAGGAGGTGGCTGTATGAACAGGGTGGCTGTAAGGCGAGGTTCTACTGTATGCAGTCATGTTCACATAGAATGCATTTCTGTTGGATGATCTGGATCAGAATCAATGATCCAAGATCCCTTAGATCATGGTCAGTCAAAGGAACCATTGGATCGACTGACTCTGGGCAAGGATTCCTGACTCCTTTGATGCACCACAAACTGAGTGATCTTGGATGATTGATCCTGATCCAGTGAGGCAGAGTTCTGCCGCACTCTCTGCATATGGCAAATTTAAATTGTGAGTAGACTTGCAAATAAATATTGTACCTCATAAATGACTCCACTGAATACACTTTAGAAAGCAATTTGAAGATCCGTGAACCAAGCATTACAGAAATCTAAAATGAAATACATTTCTTGTTATCTCGTGAATGCATTTTAGTAAATAAAGACCAAAAAAGGTATCACTGAAAAGAAAACATGTGTTGTGGACTATGACTGAATGCACTTGTCTAAGAGTGGGAATTCTCAGAGTTTCGTTAAATATGCTTTTGACTAGGGAAGGTTTAAACTGCTAAGTGAAGGCTTCAACAATACAATATCTTT